TCTTCGGTGTGAAGAATTCAAAATAAATTGCGGAACTACTAAAGTGTAACGGACAGATTTTTGGTGATTGCTTGATCCATGAAGAAGGGCCGTTTTCTGAAACGTCCCCTATTATGTTTTCCTTTAAATTCCGCGGCGTTATTGACGATCGTGTGAAGCTAAAAAGTGTAACAACATCTTCAGAGTGACGTATTCTAAACGGCAATCATGGAGTTAATGATGGATCGCTATTCAAACCATTCATAACCCTGTAAATGCATTTAGACTTCAATTCAGCGAGACTGATATTGCTTTATATGCAAAGCTGGGCTGGCTGTCTGCTTAAAATACAGGGTGCTTAAAAAATCTTAACACTTATATGGGGCTATCGTTTTGAATGGCAAAAAGAACGGATAATAATACAACGTAACGTGATAACAAATGTAATATTCTTAGTTTTTTCGGTAAAGTCACGTTGAAGAGAAACAACAAAATAATAAAATATATATAAAACAATAAATTCTCACGACGTTTCGACCATAACTCAAACGGTCATCTTCAGGTGTGTTGGTCTGCATAAATGTATTTTTAAACGGCGCATTTATTTATTTAAAAAACGTTAGCGCCACGCGCAGCGATTTGGCAGTTTACCCAGGACTAGTCCATCTATATTCTGAAAAGAGGAGGGGGGAGACGAAATTTTTTATAATGTATGCTGTCTGAAAGCCACTGTAAGCGTGAACAATCAATTAAGAACTGAAATGGTTTATCAAATCTTTCCAATGATTGCTAAGATAGAATCCATCTTCTCGGTTGAAATTGTCTCTGTGCTTGTATATGTGGATAGCCTCATGAACGAATCTCTCATGGAAGCCAGATGGCTTACAAAGAACCTCTGTCTTGGAAAAGTCAATGGCATGTGAGCCTACTGAATTAGAACAATGATCTGCTACGGCCGAGGTGTTGGTCCTACCGTGTTTAAGGTCTGCTTTGTGTTCACGAATGCGGAGGCTATGCGTTCATGAGGCTATCCACATATACAAGCACAGAGACAATTTCAACCGAGAAGATGGATTCTATCTTAGCAATCATTGGAAAGATTTGATAAACCATTTCAGTTCTTAATTGATTGTTCATGCTTACAGTGGCTTTCAGACAGCATACATTATAAAAAATTTCGTCTCCCCCCTCCTCTTTTCAGAATATAGATGGACTAGTCCTGGGTAAACTGCCAAATCGCTGCGCGTGGCGCTAACGTTTTTTATAAATAAATAAATGCGCCGTTTAAAAATAAATTTATGCAAACCAACACACCTGAAGATGACCGTTTGAGTTATGGTCGAAACGTCGTGAGAATTTTTTATTGTTTTATATATATTTTATTATTTTGTTGTTTCTCTTCAACGTGACTTTACCGAAAAAACTAAGAATATGAATTACTGCAGTCACGAAAGCTTTAAATCAAAACAAATGTAATTTTAAGAGCTTCAAAAAGTCAAAGAGTCTCCACTTGTTCGCCATCATTGTCAACACGTGGCCTGGAATCTTCTCCAGGTGGTGTCCAGAGCCCGGAGGCAGCAGCACATGTCACGTGGTATTGTTGCAAATTTTCCGAAGTGTTAATATTTCTTTGAAGCACCCTGTATATATAGTGTTATTCGGTTTCGTTTTGTAAGTCGGAGAAATGACTCCGGTAGACACATTTTACAAACCCCACCAAATAACGTGTTCATGACTCATATCATACTCGTACTACTGTACTATATATTTTTTTCAATCAACTCGTTAGTCTTCGTAGATCCGAATATATGAATCACCGGTGTGTGTCAAAAACGTTTCCTGCCTGGATTCCTGTCCGTCTGGCTGGCGCGTGCGAATGCGTGGTAGTGACGTCGCCGCGTGCATCTGCGTTGAATGCATCAGCCGCAACCCACGTGGTTGAGCCGGGTTCGACACGCGTACCAACACACCCACCCCACCCTCCATCCCCAAGGAGAGACAGGAGGGTGGTGACCGACGGATTGTGGAGGAGGAGGCAGGAGAGGTGGCGGGGAGAGAGTGAACGGGGGCGCAGTGCGACTACTGGCAGGAGAGAAAAACGGAAAGATGAGAGCGAGGCAACGTGACAAGGCAGCGTTGAGGGAGGGTTGGGGAGATTCAAGAGAGATTGAGACGGGGAAGGGAGAGGTGGGGGATAAGGAGAGCGAGGGTGAGCGGTGAGAGAGAAACAGGGAGAGAGATAGGGGGAAGCGAGCGAGGTACAGGGGAGGGAGGGGAGGAATATAGAGGGGGAACATGGGACAGCAATAGAGAGAGAGAGACGAAGCGATAGAGAGGGTAAGAGGTTGGAAAGAGAGTGCTCCATACAAGAATATTGTACAAGTTCTGGTGGCTGGCTGCGAGGGACGGGCGGCCACACATGAAACACGCGCGACTTGCTCGTAATCATAAAACGTCATCTGTAAATGTCGTGGACTTGAGTAGGATTTGTGTTTTCAAAGAAGTCTAATTGCATCCTTCCCATTGAATGTATACCCTTTCTTGATAATCAAATAAAAAAACTTCGCCTATTTGAGCAAAGAAAGAACATTGGACAAAAAGCCCAACCGAACGAGTGGTCCAGATCACGCACGAAAACGTCCTTGTGACGTAATTCGGACGTCAAATCAGAGAGCAACGGGGACCTCGAGTCGCTGCTGAGTCACGAGACATTGCGTGACACCCTCGAAAAGGCCAGAGTTGAGTCATCTTCAGATCACGAAGTGAAAGCACAGCCCGAGGCGGTACTCAACACCATTCATGGTCCTGAGCCAGTGGACATCCCACATTTACATAGCAGGATTCAGTATACCCATAGGAAGGTTAACTGTTGATTCCCAACAGTTGTGCTTATTCTATTGACCCCCGTATGGATGGATAGGCCGCATTGCTACTTGACAGAACATTGCACCTGATATTTCTGGGCCTGAACAGCTTAGCTTGAGGAATCACCTTCAATTGTCGTTCTAGCCTCGTACAACAAAGACTCAATTCCAATCACAACTCTTGGGGCTCTGCATACACCTATATAGTTTCCATATTTTGACCCTTGCATACATTTGAAAAACGTAATTGAGCAGTGAAAGCAGATAAATGACAACTGACATTCTATTCGCATAACATTTGTTTATTTCCATAACATTGTGTCACAACACAGGAAATAATTAAAATTCTTTATGAGTCACAAATATAGCTAATATTATTTTTAGTATTGCTTTTTTATTTTAACACATAATTGCAAGCCTCAGATAAATTGAATTGTAAGGGCATTGTAGTGTGATTTCTCCACGTTAAATATTCAATGTGCATTTAATCCAAAAAACATCAATTATTTCACTGGAGCAGATACATTTATGAATAAATTAAATTACTAATATGATTCAGAAAGTTAAAATGTACAGTTAAAAAATTACATACATGATGGGTCGATTCACATGGCTTGTTTTAATCCTTTAATGAATAAAAATCTCTTCTCAGTGACGTTAAGTAACCAAAGCTGCACATTTGGATGTGTATTTTGAGGAAATATATTTTTTTAGCAAAGAGTTTCATGACAACACAATACACATTATTTTGGCTGTACTCACGTAATAATAATAATAATCCCACACACTGTTTTGTAACTTCATAATTCAACACAGCCGTACAAAACGACGCTGACTCGTAAATGTGATGCCTACAATGCCCTTACATGAATTAACACATGCACATTCATTTCTGCACGTTGCCGCGTGCATCTGCGTTGAATGCATCAGCCGAAACCCACGTGGTTGAGCCGGGTTCGACACGCGTACCAACACACCCACCCCACCCTCCATCCCCAAGGAGAGACAGGAGGGTGGTGACCGACGGATTGTGGAGGAGGAGGCAGGAGAGGTGGCGGGGAGAGAGTGAACGGGGGCGCAGTGCGACTACTGGCAGGAGAGAAAAACGGAAAGATGAGAGCGAGGCAACGTGACAAGGCAGCGTTGAGGGAGGGTTGGGGAGATTCAAGAGAGATTGAGACGGGGAAGGGAGAGGTGGGGGATAAGGAGAGCGAGGGTGAGCGGTGAGAGAGAAACAGGGAGAGAGATAGGGGGAAGCGAGCGAGGTACAGGGGAGGGAGGGGAGGAATATAGAGGGGGAACATTGGACAGCAATAGAGAGAGAGAGAGAGACGAAGCGATAGAGAAGGTAAGAGGTTGGAAAGAGAGTGCTCCATACAAGAATATTGTACAAGTTCTGGTGGCTGGCTGCGAGGGACGGGCGGCCACACATGAAACACGCGCGACTTGCTCGTAATCATAAAACGTCATCTGTAAATGTCGTGGACTTGAGTAGGATTTGTGTTTTCAAAGAAGTCTAATTGCATCCTTCCCATTGAATGTATACCCTTTCTTGATAATCAAATAAAAAAAACTTCGCCTATTTGAGCAAAGAAAGAACATTGGACAAAAAGCCCAACCGAACGAGTGGTCCAGATCACGCACGAAAACGTCCTTGTGACGTAATTCGGACGTCAAATCAGAGAGCAACGGGGAACTCGAGTCGCTGCTGAGTCACGAGACATTGCGTGACACCCTCGAAAAGGCCAGAGTTGAGTCATCTTCAGATCACGAAGTGAAAGCACAGCCCGAGGCAGTACTCAACACCATTCATGGTCCTGAGCCAGTGGACATCCCACATTTACATAGCAGGATTCAGTATACCCATAGGAAGGTTAAGTGTTGATTCCCAACAGTTGTGCTTATTCTATTGACCCCCGTATGGATGGATAGGCCGCATTGCTACTTGACAGAACATTGCGCCTGATATTTCTGGGCCTGAACAGCTTAGCTTGAGGAATCACCTTCAATTGTCGTTCTAGCATCGTACAACAAAGACTCAATTTCAATCACAACTCTTGGGGCTCTGCATACACCTATTTAGTTTCCATATTTTGTCGCTTGCAGACATTTGAAAAACGTAATTAAGCAGTGAAAGCAGATAAATGACAACTGACATTCTATTCGCATAACATTTGTTTATTTCCATAACATTTTATCACAACACAGGAAATAATTAAAATTCTTTATAATGAGTCACAAATATAGCTAACATTATTTTTAGTATTGTTTTTTTTATTTTTACACATAATTGCAAGCCTCAGATAAATTGAATTGTAAGGGCATTGTAGTGTGATTTCTCCACATAAAATATTCAATATGCATTTAATCCAAAAAACATCAATTATTTCACTGGAGCAGATACATTTATGGATACATTAAATTACTAATATGATTCACAAAGTTAAAATGTACAGTTAAAAAATTACATACATGATGGGTCGATTCACATGGGTTGTTTTCATGCTTTAATGAATAAAAATCTCTTCTCAGTGACGTTAAGTAACCAAAGCTGCACATTTGGATGTGTATTTTGAGGAAATATATTTTTTTAGCAAAGAGTTGCATGACAACACAATACACATTATTTTGGCTGTACTCACGTAATAATAATAATCCCACACACTGTTTTGTAACTTCATAATTCAACACAGCCGTACAAAACGACACTGACTCGTAAATGTGATGCCTACAATGCCCTTACATGAATTAACACATGCACATTCATTTCTGCACCCATTCCGTGCGCGATCACAGGAAAATTCCGCTTTCTTCAAAGGCCGAGCTGCAGAGGCCATCACAGTCAATGGTGTCAAAAGCCACTGCACCTCGCCATCACTCCCTTCCTTCTGCTAGGCCTCTCTCAGCCGTTGCACGGTTGACAACAAGCCTCATGTTCACCACCACCAATTACTTTAAGCTCTTCTGCTTAGTCGCTGGTCTCAGCGAAAGCTTTTTGAAGCATTTAACAACAACGGTAAATATCCTCGCTGGAAATGCAAAGCCTTCCATGCTTTAGGCAGGAATGCAGACGCATGTACGGATTTCCCCAAACTCGACAGCACTCACGGACATTTAAGGGACATGGCGACACGTTCGAGACACAACATTGGACTCCAAAGCAATGGGGGGGGGGGGGGGGGGGGGGGACACAGCGGAGCAGACTCTCGTGATCTCTCCTGCACTCCAGTGCATTGTGACATTCAAGGGAGAATATTTACAGGAACACCAGGCAGATAGACGCACATGCACGTTATCTTCTGTGGAATGCTCGTATTGGGTTTTTTTGTTGTTGAGAAATATCAACTCCCACCCGTTATGTACACACACACTATCGTTATTTACACGATGTACATGGCAAGTGCGTCTTAGTAGTAGATTAACAGGTTTAACAGTCACGTCACAGCACTATCCTCCAAAGATGCTGCTACTTCATTAATATAGCAGGGCAACTAAGGGGCATTGTGGTAACAATCTTTCGAATCGTTGCCACTCTCTGCCCTTAGAAATGTGCTTTTTTTTAACGAGTAATTCTTTTTTTTGGTTGGCCTCCACTAATCACTTCGATGCTGCGATGTTGTTCATACACCGACATTGACAACATGGTTCTGTGTAAATCAATGACACCGATTCGTGACTTCACCACTATTTGAGCTGCAAAACGTTCGACCTCATGCTTCTTCAAATCGATGTGAAGATTGAAAACACCCAACGCTGTTAGTTGAAATGTGGCTCATTGTAAAAACATGTTTATGGCTGATGCGTTTCGGCAAAGTTAAACACAACTTCTTAACGACTCACAAGCTAGCTGTGGTTTAAATGTCTATATATACATTCTTGCGGGAAATACGCATTTCCTCGCATGTGACCTGAAACATATAACCTGTGGATTGTACAGATACCATTTACAGTAACTCGTAGGCTTTGCGACCAATATCATCCATAATGGAGGTTTTTGGGTTACAGCGTGTAAATTTACCAACCCAAAAACCTCTATTATGTACGATTTAACTGTTAACGCAGAAGTCGGAACAACACTAAGCCCGCAAGCAATTACAGTGTCGCTAAAACATTGCTCGAACAACGTGTGTTGTTTCATTGGCGGCAAAGAAGCAACACGAGTGGCATTGGTGGGAGGGGAATTCCCACAAAGAGTAGCTCATGAGATATTTCCTAAATGGCATTCCATTGCCCACGATGGCATCAGTCATTCAACATAAACCAACACAAGAGGACGTCACAATTAAATAAGCAATCATCCCAAGCAAATAGCAAAGCCCTGATGGGCAAGACAGCATTTCGTACAATGTTATTTCCAAACCAGCTATTATGTGATACTATAGTAGTGACAGATTCCATGTTTCATGGGAATATTCCCCACGAGATTGTTGCCATTGCTGTGCATAGACTGTTACGGTCCTAAGATTTGCATATTATCTGGAAGCTCTGATGGCTGACTGGCTCGATCGCTCACGGCTCCTTATGCACATTCGCAAGCTGTCATCCATCCATCCATCACAATTAGGAACGAGACGTTGGTAACACGAAAGGGTTAAATATTTACACCACCACCACCACCCCTGCGTCGATGCCCTCGTCACGCGGGAGCTCCGTTGTGAGAGGCTAGACACGTTTGCTGGACACGCACACATTTATAAACCCTTGCGGGAACAAGCTAAAACAAGCATCGGGCGATATTAACAAACGCAGGCGCATTGGATGGCTGACCATGATGCCACCATAAATAAGGCAAAATTATTTCAAACGTTAAATCAAATCCGTGTTACACAACCTCACGCATCACTGAGTATTAGCAATTCAACTGTAGCCAGAGTCGACATGTCAGATGCTTTACAAAGGCATTTTGAAAGAGAAAGTACAACGCCGCCTGGACTAATATTGGCTTTTGCAAAGCGAATTATCATTGCCCTTTAATGTAACAATTAGCCCGAAGGGCATTGTCAAGTTTGACTCATTCAGGCCCATTCATTGCCATGTAAACGCAGTTTTGCATCACTGGAACAAACTATGCACGTTCATACCTTGTTCTTTTGGTCGAAACGTTTAGAATGAATGTTGATGTGTGGGCTGAACAGTATTTGAAGTGTTAAACAATTCAAAACGCATGCAACAGTGCACGTGCTATATTTAAGTGCTCAATTGAGCAATGGGCGGTTGCTCATCTCTTGTGGGGGGGAAAAAACAGAAGGGAAAAAACGAAACCAGTAGGGACAACACAAATAAACCAGTAGGAACAAACTCCACATTTCTGTGGGCCCTGCCTCAATTTAATTTCGAGTCATTATCCACCACGATGGTCGAGTTTCAAATGAGTGCAAGTGAAACACATTGCCGATTTGCATCTATGTATGTATGCATGTTGCACTCCTTTCGCACCGTACGTAGCCAACCGCGCTAATCCATCGGCAGTAATGAGCCGAGTTCCTGCAGTAGTGAGGTAAGGTTCACGCGCACACACAGAGGTGACCACACATCCACACACGTCCGTAGCAAGCCGTGTAATTCCTGTGCCTTGAGCCTCAACGCTATCCCTACAAATCCTTCTGTTTGAGAAGCTGAGTGACAACGGCTGAAGCTCCGATTCATTTAATTCCTAAAGTCACTTTAATTATGTACAATAAATTAGTCCATTCAAGCAACGCAGTGTTTATTCTAAATGAGCATGGAGGGTTTTGTATTGAACACAATTATACATATCAGTATATTAGTCTATTATTATACATATTAAATAACAGCCAAGAGGGTTTCAGACAGATAAAATAAATTTTAAATAAATTAGTCACGCTAAATATAACTTTACATTATTTTTTTTATAAAATAGTTAAGTGTTTCCCTCCTTAAGCGAGGAAGAGACTACCCTCCCTCATTTCCATCTCCAGCCTTAGTCCAATGATGGAAATTCCATATTCCTATGTCACGGTCAGTATATCCATAGGATAACCACTGCTGGGTTAATACAAAGTGGTAGCTGTGTTTTGCAGTCATTGACCACCGAGGAGTTGATGGATCACCTTACCTTGGTGAGTCGTATAATCAAACCGCTGTACCACCTACCCAGCTTTAAATATAAAAGAGGCACGGTATTGAGTACATCTGTGCACACCGATAATGCGTTATTCTTTTGTCTAGCATCTTCGCCAACTTCACATGTGCGAAGATGCTTCACTTACAGACTGCAGGCATAAGCGCTGTTAGTAAGTCCCTATTGTGATCGGCATGGCAAACGAAGGGATTGGTGTGTGTAGCGCTACCCACGCCTGACCGCCTTTGTATCCCCCTGTGCAGATGTTGGCACACTACCACACCAGGTGCTCATTTTGTGCCGAGTGAAACTTGGAGAGACCTGGGCCAGTTTTCAGACACCAATTGGCAACACTGCTGCTGTGTGTAGCACAGTCGGGAAGTGATTGACGTCATCCTACATCGCAATGTGCTAAATACTACACCGCTGCTTCTCATTAAGCACACACACACGTCAATATTGCAATTAAATGTTTCATACTCTGCCTGAAAATAAAAATTAAAATTGGCAAAACAATAATGCACATTTAGGCATCTTCAATTGACACTATTGAACACAAACAAGGACACAAAATCCACAAATCGCACCTCCATCCTCATTTCGAAATGCAAAGCGATCTGGCACGCACGGCACACGAGTGTAGAGTCTCCCTGTTCCAGCGAGCACTGGGTGAGGGTGGCATTGATCTCCACCAGCCGTCAACATTCCACATTCCTATGACAGAGCCGCTTGCAACGTCGGACGAGATCGCGAATAACGTCCTGCAAAGCCGTGTCTCATTGTATACAGCCCGGAGAAATGACGTGCCAAGTCAACCCTGGGGCGAAGAGTCAAGCGCGCAAAATCATTACCGCAAGTCAAGCGCAATATTCCGCACCTTAATATCAATGTACATTATACACATCAATGGAAAACCCTGCGAAGAACGGAGCCCTCGTCGAAGCCGGATACTCTTAACCCGCGACGATCTCGGATTCTTAACGCACCGCCGACGCTTGTAACGGGGCCACGCGAGTCACCGCACAGCGTCTCGAATCGACGGCGCACCACAGCAACCGGCGCACGCGCGGGATCTTTGCTTGCTGTCCTGTCTCGTGTGTGCCCGTGTGAAGGGGCCCTCGCAACAAAGCCACAAGTGTGGCGTTGTGACTCCCCTGACACTGGCTGGCAATCGCTGCTGCACACGCAAGATAAGACAACGAGCAAAGATCCACGTATAGGCTGAGCAGACTGTTGGTGCAATTGCTGTTAGCACGCAACACAACAACCGCCATTCGCCGCTAAGTGGCGGTGACGTCACCACGACGCTTGTGCCAGGCCATGTGCACCTTGTCAGCACGCACACACGCACACACGCACGCAATGTACCATGTGGATTTGTATCATGGCTCTCTTGAAGGATTCTTTATTTTGTTCATTGGTAGAGGTAATTGGCAGAGGAGTTTTAGGCTTTATAATGTGTCGCTAGTATTTTACCCAGGAATGCCTCACTGAGTCCACAGGATGTGTAGGTGTTTGATTACGGGTAGTAGATGGAGTACCTGGAGAAAACCCACACGGCAAGTTTAAGTCAGGAACCCATTTGCTGTCCTGACATCTTTCGGCCACCTTGCAGACTGCCATGTCTTGGACAGTGGGAGCATACTACGCTCCATCTCTGTGTGATCCACAAATCCCACCTCCCAATGCGTGCGCTACCGTGCCAGGCTTGATGGTAAGCAGGTGGCCACCCACTCTCGTGGATTATAAATCTGTAAATCGCATCCCTCGTGTCTGGAGGGGTAAACAGATTTGATCAGTGGCGCTTACACGCTGTCCAGCAAAAGGCAAAGGCGCAGCCGTGCCATGCCATGACCACGCCCCATCTCTACCACCGGCAGAGGTGCAGTGGCGTGCATGTTTTCCTGTTCTTGCACTCGCACCAGAGGCGAGAGTGCCAGCGCTATAACCCATCACGCACGACTCTCAGTGACTCTACTCAGAGTGCTGGGGGTGCACAGAAGCAGTGGGGGGGTTAAGAACCCAGCGGCCTGTTTCAACCGCCCCCTGAACAACACCACAGCAGCATCCGTACCAGCATGCAGCACCTAACCTAGCCATGCTTTGCTGGGTAAAATCGGCGTTGAGAGTAATAATTATTATAATTATTGATGTGCCCTTGCTCGCTCTGATATTATAATATAACATTACAATGATTATTATCAATATCTGCAATGTCCCGACGTGATAAGTGACCACCTTTTGTACTTATAACTTCATGAAGCGAGATGTTAAGTGATGGGTCTCTTCTTGGCCTGTCATGTAGAGCGAAGCGCAGAGCTTGGGGTGAAATTGATTTAAAATAAAAGAGGCGAGCCAGAGGGCAGAATGTAGAAAGAAAATGGATCGCGATATGTTACGTAAGGTACGACGCTAAATCATGCAGGAGATATTTTGAGATGCGTGGATGCTGAACATTGAAAATCGTACAAGTGGGGAAGTTAGGCATGGGAAATGGCGCTGGTAAGAGATGTGCTCTTGCTTGCGAAAGAAAGTCGAAGTCAAAGCATCTTGAGATTTCGCAAAGACGAATGTTGTGGAGTTTTTTTTTTAAGTCGAGGACACGTTGCCAACGATGGGCGATGGACTAAAGAAGAATGTGAGCAGGACGCAGCACTTTGAAGAACTGAGTTTGTCAATGAAAAGCAAAGTGCAAATGTTTTAAATGAATAGTTGCCAATCAGTGCATATTACCTAAGATGATGTATGGATCAGAAATATGGAAAGTTACTAAGAAAGTGGAACAAATGTTGAATTGTGCACAAAGAAAGCATAAAGAGATGTATGTTATGGATTACACTGACATACGTGGAGAGGAACACGTAGATCAGAGAACAAACGCGAATGACAGGTGTTGTATGGACTGTTGAGGAATGTGGGTTTGGGCAAGACGCATCACAAGAATGGATGCTGACTGATGGATGAGACAGGTCATGGAGTGGGAGCCAAAAGATGTGTCACGGTGCAAATTAAGCGATTCGGTCAGTTTGTGCGCACACTAGAGATAGCTTGTGGCATTTTGAAACTGGCGTTATTGAGGAGATGCCTTCATCCAGCAGTAAATAGGCCATAGCTGATGATGCAGCTTTAAAGGCTTCGTTCCATGAGATCGAGGGACAGATCCATTTCCCATGAAGTCACCAGAAGACTTGCGTATTTCAGCCATTCCACAACGTATAATCGTGCTGCCGTCCTGCAAAAGCGATGCAATAAAACGCTGTCAACATGTTTGGTGTGAACCATGGACATTTAAATAAAATATTGAAACAATTTAAGATATAGTTCATACAGCAGCTCCAAGCACGTGAAGAAAAAAATGTTTGCCGATTTGACTAAAATGTTTTATCAAGTACCTTGGTTGTCAATTACTAGGGCCCCATAAAAAATGGCAATCGCCCCGACATCCTGCCTCCTGAAGGTGGGAAACCCCCTACAAGCCACGCCCACCATGACTCAGATGATGATGCCAATGACCTCACCAAGCCCTGCCCATCACCTCCCGTCCAGCGGCACACGTGGGTACAGAGGTGAGCCTTTTTCCCCGCAACAATTTTTGTCGATTCGTCGAATAATCAAACTAATAATCAATTACTTGATTAATCTGATAGCCCAGCTCTAGAAAATGCGTGAATATAAAAAAAAAACTTGCAATTGAAATCCTTACCTTTGATTGGCTGGGATGGCACCACAAGTCTGCGCGAGCGTTCACGGGCGACAGTCTAAACCCTGGTCTCACTGAACCAGTTTCGAGCGGCAAAGTGGCTCCGTGTTCTTTCATCTTTGCTGGAAACAATGAAACAGACGCACAATGGAGAATGTTTAATAGAATCTGTGAATGACGAGAGAGAGAAACGCATCCTCCCAGAAAAATAGTCCAAGCTAGAAAACCCGAAGTTTCAAACAACACACGACAATGTGTGAAAGCTCCCCTCTGCCTCTGTGCATTATGCAAACATTGATCGGCGTTTCCTCAAGTATTGCATTGTGGTCTTCTTGTCTTCGGTCACCATGAAAATACTTTTGAGCAAATGTGACTGATACAAGGGAGAGACAACTATAGATCGGTGTCAGCCTTATTAGGACTCATCAGCACAGGAGGGTCACCAATGTTTACGGGCTCTGGGAACCATCTGTAAATCATGAAAATGATGCAATTCATAATGCGCACAATATATTACAAAAATAAATGATCGAGGCTCTGAGGTGTGGAGCCAAGCTCAGTGTCCCTTGGAGAGAGGTGTGGGGCCTTGAAGTGTCTCCTCTTATAAGTTGCTGTGGATTGAACGCTGCTGCTGCGAATGTGCAGCGGGAGGATGATGATGATGGTGGTGGCTGCTAGAGAGAAATGACGCCCAGCGGGGATGGCCCCGGTCCTTTGTGCAGACAGGAGGAAGCGTGCGAGTGGCGCTGCTGCGGAGAGTTCCACCGTGAGCTGTGGTGCCGGGAGACAGGCGCTAGGGGGAAGACGGTGATTGAACACAGCAAGGACTGTCAGAGGCACAGGCAGAAGGCGACGTTGTCGCTGTCCCTGCTGGCGACGTGACGCCAGTGGAGGGAGTGTCAGGGCGTCTCGCCGTGGATGGCAGGCGCCGGGGACGATGCACGCGAGTTTTGTTTTGCGACCGTTGGAATTGCTGGAGGTCACTCGACGAAGGTCGAACAGGAAGTGAGTCGAGATCCAACGACGCTGCCGACGAGAGCGTTGGCGACTTCAGCGGCGACGAGCGGCCACGAATGGCGCAAGGCCCTGGGGTGGCCGTCGCCAGAGTTGCTGGTGGTGCGGTGTCAGTGTAGCGGTCGGAGGGTCAAAGGCGGCCGAGTCCAGGGTGGCGCCGTGGAGCTCAATGTGCTCGGAGCATCAGGACGTGGACCTGAACCCAGCCACTCGGCGTTGCTGGCTCAGTGCTCGATCACAGTCGTTGCACTTTCTCCAAGCCACTAAACCACCTCCCCATTATCATGATTATCTTTAACATAACTCCTGAACCAAAGCTAGAAATGCTTTGGTATTTGCGTTTGCCTTGTACTGCTCGCTTTATGGGGGTCTTTTGGCGAGCACTGGTGAGAGAATGCCAGGAGGCTGTCTCTCGTGCAGGCCAAGTGGTGGGATTTTACACAAAGTAGTATATATTTTATCGACCTCAGAGGGATAACAATGGGTAGAGCACTGGCTGTGGTGGTGCATGCCTCGAGCCCAGTTGACGCGGTGGCATGGTTGATGGATCATGCAGAGATCATCATCAGCCGTGATCTATCCACTGCTGGATAAACGCCTGCCCAAACCGTCGTCACCGTGGCAGGAGATGTGTGACAACCAGTGACCTGCTGCCACAGTGATTGGTTATTTTGAACACGCGCTGTTTATGCTAATCATGAGCGCCGTCGCGTTCCAAGCCGCCACTTCCTGCACCACCACCACTGCCCGCCACATTGGCGATGTCAATGTGCGCCGTGCACCTGATCCGGGAACGCAAATTGGCCGTCTCTGGGCCTAGAGCCGAGAGTCATGGGAACGCAGCATTACTGTATCCTACCATCTGGTATGAGAGGTATTTTCCTTGGTAGATTATTATGATCCTTTTTTGCCTACGAAAGCCTCAAACTCAAGAGGCTCAAGAGTTCCCGCAGTAGGGGGGTGGAGGAGGGGTGGGGGGTCGACGATTGTAATGCGTTTCCTAATAAAGTAATTTGCGGAGTCATTTAGAAAAAAAAATGGTAATTCCATCCACGACGCCGGCACGCACGCGCACAAAATGGCTGCTCTTCTCCACATGACGTCACGAGATACCTTGTTGCTGCCCATTCCCCCGCACCTCCGATTGGTAACGATTGGCTACGTACGGTGCAATAGAAGTTCACCATACAGTGCATCGTCTCCCGCGAAACATGCGGCGCATATTTCACGATCAATGCATCTGCAGTATTAACCAGGGCGACCGGCTGAGTCCGAGCGGCCAACCTCAGCAACAGGCGGGGAACGTTTTCCTTCTCTGGGTGTCAATGCAGCACCGTGGTTTGCTGGTGACACGTGTCCCACCCATCACGTGTCCCACCCATCACAACCCCCTGTGCCCCCCCCCCCCCGTACATTTTAGAAGTTCACGAATAAATGGCAAGTGACGTCACACGTTCTTATCTGAGATGAGCCCGTTTCACACACCGGCGCCACGATGGGGAAAGGCCTCACGGTAGCGAGATGTTAACTACCTCGCCTGGTAGGCAGAAAGTCGTGGGATCAATCCCAACCCTTTATGCCTGTATATTTGGAGTTTGCTGTGTCTCTCTCTCTCTCTCCTCGTGGTCGCATGGATTTTTCTCCGGATCCTCCGATTTTTCCCTCCACATTTAGAAACACGCGTTTTGATTATTTGGCTGCGATAAATTTCCACGTAATAAGCCACTTCGTGGGGCTATCATTTGTGGCCAGGTCGCTTCTGAAAAAGAGCTATTTAGCTCAGTGGGCCTTACCTGGTAAAATGAAAAAATAGTTTCGTTCACAGTTTATTTTATTACGGAGAAAAGATTGCAAACGGGTGGGACCGAGGATAACGGGACGCCTGCTATAATAATAATAATATACATGTATAAAGCGCCCTGAACGCCATCGTTCTACGGGCGCCATAACGCCCTGAGAACGATGCACTGCACCAACACCACCATGCAGCCACGCCGTGGTGCAATCGACCCATCGATTGAAAAAGATTCCCACGCTCACGATACGCGCGTAGAATTGTGCGAGCAGGAGTACATTTTGTGTTCGAGTGCACTGTAGCTACTGGATTTTACCAAATGAATGTTGATTCTCGAATGCAATTGCGACCACCGAATTGTAAAAACAAAAAAAATAATCGAATCGTGATGAGAGCGAATCAGATGGTGAGATTTAGTCGGGCAACAACGGGTTGCGCTTGGTGCGACACGAATGAGGAGGGCCGGTTACGGAGACAGCCACTGGGGTGGTGGTGGTGGTGTCCACGAGAGTCCAGGGAGCAAGGGGAAGCGACGACCCCCCAGAGCACATCTTGCGGGTCACGTGTCGACCTTGCAGCAGCCGTGGGATCTGGCGGAGGTTAGAGAGCACTGGCGAGGCGTGGTGACATCAACGACTTTGGCCACGACGACATCTGGAAATGTTACAGAGACCCTCGGTCTGAGCCCTTGGTTAGACGTGCAGCCCTTTTGTCCATCCACTGCTGGATGAGGGCCTCCCCACGCCATACGAGTCACGGGGATTATTTGACCATACGTGCACTGGCCTCTACTGACAATCGCCACGCCACCAATTACTCCAGAACGTATTTTACTAAAAAATACTTTTCATGGGTCAATGGCTATTTGTCTACAACTTTAATTACTGTGTTTGTTATTTCTTACGCCATTTTGCCAGGGAGTAAAATAGGAAAGAAAAAATCCGACGATGTTTAGCAAAACGTACGATATGATAATCATCGCGGGCCCTGTATGGTACAGTGTAGCACAGAGCCGCCACATCGTGGTGACCATGCATGGCTGTTTAAGACAGATCCTTGAGGGGAAATGCGCAAAGCCCTCTGATGGGTTATTCTCTGTGCCGTCAATGGGAGATCCAAGACAAATATTAACTCTGTGCATTTGCTCAGTGCATACATTATTCGAGGGGGGTGTAATTAGTGACATTTAGTTATGTATTAATAAATATCGAAAGACAACCCTGTGCACAATTACACATATATCTGGTGCCACAATATTGCAATCTCTGAATCATAAGGTAAAAACCGAGAGGCAAACTGCATTACAGGAGGCCGAGCAAAGCTCACGAAGGTTAAGCTGATCTACTCCGCCAAGTTATTGTCCTAGAGGGCAGCATAGTCGCTGTTTATCTGCACCTCTGATTCATTAGCACGGTTGGCCACGTACGGTGCGAAATACATTGACCACACAGACATTTATCGGGGTCATAACTGAATCAAATACATGAAATGTTCCCAAAGGTACAAGCATTAATTCATCATAATAATGGCCATTTTTATCCACTGCTGGATGAAGGTCTCCCCACACCGTCGCCATCTCTCATGGTCCTGCGATGGCTCGATCCATCTCTCACTCCTGCTCACGAACTCATCTCATTTGCTCCATCTGCACGGAGGTCGTCCTCTTGGGCGGGTCCTCTACTCTTGTTGCCATTCAGTTACCAGTCTCGCCCATCTGACCACCCACTGATGAAGCACTGCCCAAGTCCGCTTATACCACTGTTCGTGACAGACAGTTTGGGGTGTCTCTGAAGTGTGTTTGTTCCCCGATCCACATGCGTACTTCCGTCTCTCGATGTGCGATTCCACAAATGCACCTGGGCTCGTGTGTGCATCAATCACAATGCACCGCACACAAGCGTCGAACGCAGGCCTGTCCGCAGTAAATGTTAACTTAACAGTGCCCGTCGCTGGCTTGCGCGGCCAAACCGCCGGTCTCCTGCCAAGGTTGTAGTGCCAGATGTAAGCTTCAAGGTCACGCCCGATTGGTCACAACGAACGCGCACCATTGACAGAAACACATGCAGCTTGTTAAGACGTAAACGCGCGCAGCTGTCAGCCTCCACACGCCACCGGCACGGCACGCACCACGTGATGCTAAACAAAGGGCTGCTGCGGTTCCCTCGTCGCCAGAGTTTGCGCGGACGCAATGGTCCCAGCTATGGATGTTTACAGCACACGCAGTAGCTTCTAGAGGGGTGGGTGGGGGGGGGTGTTGGGATAACGCTCACGAACCTGGTGGGGCCAGGTTTGATTCCGGCTCAAGGCCAGCAT